ATGGTATTATAAATGACAGCTACTTTATATTTATAGTTTATTACAAATCCATTGAACAGTCTGGAATTTATGGAACCAGAGAGCAAGATCAAGAAAAATGGTTGGATAGCAAAAATTAGGAGTAAGTAGATGCTATTATTTACTTTACTAACTCTCATTTCCTTTGCTTTTTAGTTTTTTGAGTGTTTAGTCTCTTCTTTTTAAAATTTTTATTTTTCTTGATGATACTTTTCACACCTCTGTGTGTATCCACACGTTCAGGCTCCGCTGAAGCTGTTTGAGACTTGCATTATCTTTGTTAGCCATGGCATTCAAGCCAATGTCACCAAATTTGGATCCCATATTTTCATCCAACAGGTGGCCAAACTCTTCAGCAGATATAAGTAGGCTGGAGTTGTTGAGGTTTCGTTTCTTTTTCTTCCTTGGCCCTTCAAGGGAACAAGCAAAGTTAAAATTACCTATACCCCTTCTTTTATTTCTCTTCACCATCTTTGGAGTTGACTTCCCCAGGTTCTAGGATGCCTTCACTTTCTTCATCTCACATGTCCATGGATGCTCCTCCTCCCTCCTCATCAATTTCAGCAAATTCCTCATCCACACTTCCTAAAGAGACTTCATCATCCAAGTTAGCAAATTCACCATCGCTACCCCCTGAATCGTCATCTTCACGGTTATCCTTGGCTCTTTTTATTTTCTTTTTCACACTGCTTACAAAATCAAAGTCACCCTTCCCACCAGGGTAGCAGTTATCATCTTCACGTGTGTCAATCATCTTTTCAAATTCCTCACCATCCACATCTTCTACACTTTCTTTGTCTGCTCTCGTTTTTGTTTCTCTTTCCTAACAGTGACTTTTTTATAATACCTAGGGAAAAACACTTCAGCCACTTGTATTTGGCTTTCTTCTTTTTCAAGGAACTCCTCGCTATTCACAGCAAGACTGCGAATATCCTTTACAATATTTTGGCCGCATCACAACACTGTTGGTATTTTCTTTGCCTTTATGTGCAGGTGATCTCTTACTTGCTGACTCCTCTCCAGGGCATCAAGTGCCACACTGGTTATGCTAGGCCTTGGCAGCAAGCCAGAGGAAGATGGCTAACACACAGCTAAACCACGGATTATCACTTATCTGGTGCCCCAAAACCACCATGGTCCTCATGCACATAGCAGCAGCAAACAAAAAGCAACAGAAATCAATCCAGACAGACTTGGTAGAAGGGCTTCAGTACATAGTATAAAAAGGTTTCCTACAGAAGAAAAATTTCACATTCAAGAGGTCAAAATGATTTAAAAATCTTGATTAGAATTAGAAACATCAAAAGAAAAGATGGGTGTTACTTAAAAAGGAACTCCCTAAATGTAAATCAAAAAGCTTGTATCAGAGCCAAAGAAGCTATTACAAGCTGCTGCATAAATAGGCATTTAATGATTTTTTTCCCAATGTTACATTATTGATCTGTTTCAGTTGAAATGACTAAGTAATTTGTTTAAGATAACATTAATGGGATTTGCAGCACGTTAGATATCTTGGGTCCCTCTCATCATCAGAATTGCTACTATAAAAAATAAATTTTACATTATCTTTCAATAAAACTTCTGCATAATTTTTGAAATCCAACAGGAGACTTTAGATTTATCTATACACCAAGTGCAAAAAGGTACTTCTAAATCATATCATAAATATCACTTATTCAATTCAATAAATATTGCACATTTACTTACTAATGTCAGACACTCACACTCTAAGCATTATAAACACAATGGTGAACAAGAGAGGATTGAGATCCTGCACAAGGGATGGAGTTCAGTGGTGCTGCATTTGCCTGGCAAGTGTTAAGGCCCTGAATTAGATTCCTGGTACCAAAAAAGAAAATACAGACCCCCCCAAAAAAAAGTCCCTTAAAAAAAGAGATATGATCCCTTATCTCAAAGAGTTTACAATCTTATCTGTTAAAAAAAAAATGAAATAAAATCCCAAGCTCAGCGAATGGGGTTTCATCCCTTATAAAGGCAGACAGAGAACATCCAGAAAAAGTGATGTTCACACGTTAAGCTGAGGCAGAAACAGGAAGTAGTCCAGTTCTGCAGCAGATAATGGCTCAGTAAAGGTGGCTCTGGCTAGGAAACTATCTGCCAGCTATTTTAGTAAGGGCTGTCTTTTGTTGTTCATTCTTGTTTGTTTTTTTTTTCCTCGTACCAGGGATTGAACTTGGGACCTTGTGCTTGCGAGGCTGGTGACGGAACCACTGAGCTAAATCCCTGGCCCAAGTAAGGGTTGTCTTTTGGGCAGGAAAAGAGACTCCAGTGGAAAAGGAAACTTTAACAGCAAGGCTGCACAGAGCAAAAGATAACAGTCATCTACTTCTTAATCTGGAGAGAAAAGAGGCAAAAGTTCACAATTTCATCATGACCCATTCCCCATTCGCTCACTCACACACTCACTTATTCCTGTCATACTGTGTGCCAGCACAGAGGAGTCAGTGGTGGGCAAGATGGACACAATTCTGCCCTCAGAGAAGCAACACAACCCAGCAAACAATAACAATAGAGTGGTTTGGTGGCTACATGTGATTCTGATACACAGCTCTTTGAAATCAGTTATCACGCTTTGAAACTACTATTGAAGACTCTCCCAATAATTAATAAAAGAGGAACCACTATTTGATATCAATGTAAAAATAAGAACATTAAAAGCAACTGACATTCCATAAAAATAAAGCATACAAGGAAGTATGCTTCATTTTCAAATAAATACCATCATGTAGTGTTTTACAGGTTGCAAAAACACTTTTACATAAACTCATTCTTACTGTTCGAAGAACAGAGGCCAAGCAGACATTTTAATAATTACCTACCACTTGTCAGGCACCGAGGGTGGAGCGTCAGGCTCTTTGCCGGGAACTTAACGTCATGATCTCATCGCATCCCTGGACCATCCTGTGAAGTATCACTGCCACCTACTCACAGGCAAGAAGCCTGAGCTTAGAGGTTTACATAACTCGTCCATGACACATGGCTGACGTAGCATAGAGCCAGAGTTAGCCTCTGGGTCAGGGTGACTTCGAAGCCTGCGCAGCCCAAGTGTGACCACAAGGCAGCTGGAGTGTGGACCTGAGCAGAGCAGGCAGGACCAGACTGCACACCATGAGATATAGTTCTGTACTCCGTCAGCCACGCTGTAGCAACGCCATCCTCACCTCGTTATCTTTTAGCTCTCTAATTATTCAATCCGTCTGGATTCTCTCTAAATAATTTTTCTTTTTTGGGGGGGTGAGGTGAGCGGATCGAACTCGGGTCCTTGCGCTTGCATGGCAGGTAGTGGAACCACTGAGTCAAATCCCTGGCCCTTTCTAAACAATTTTTCTAAAGAATGCATGGTATCACAAAAATACATCTAAGCAAACATTAAAATATTTAACAATTAGTGTCATTCACACTCTGTATCCAAAGTACCTTCAGGAGCTGAGCACTCCTGAGGTGCTACCAAATAACCATAACAAAAGCTCAAAGCTGTTCCCAAGTGGGTTTGCTAGCTTTCCATCCCTGAGACTGAGGAACTGGAAACAACAATTTAAAGGAAGAAAGGTTTATTTTGGCTCAGTAGTTTCAGCGCGTGCTCTTCTGGATCTTAGGTTAGGCAGAACAAGACGGAGGGAGGGCACGATGGCAAAGCTGCGCATCTCAGGGCAGCCAGGGAAGGCGGGGCCTGCACAAGTCACAGTCTACAGGAGCAGTCCCACCCTCTGCCTACGCCCACCTCTACATTCCTATCACTTCCCAATCAGATCACCGGAGGAGGAATCCATCAATGAATTAATCCACAGATGATCCAATCACCTCCAATCTCTGAACTTTGCTGCACTGGGGACTAAACCTTCATCATATAAGCATTTGAGGAACATTCCGGACCCAAACCAAAACACTAGGCTCTACATAGGGGGAATTACGTAAGGTTCACAGTAACAATAATCAGTCCATGCTACTCTTCTCAGTTTACAGAGATAAGGAGAAGCTTATTAAGATTAAGTAACATGCGCTGGGAGTATAGCTCAGTGCTAGAGCACATATCTAGCATGTTCAAGGCCATGGATTTGATTCCTAACCCCACACCCTACAAAGAAAGGGCTAAGTAATATAGCCAAGGTCACACAAAAATAGGTGATAAAGCAGTAGGATTCTAGAAACTAAGCTTTTAATCCTCTACAACAGAGCTGGTATTCCTGCAATGGCCAGATAATTAAACAACAATACCAAAATACCGTGATCTGAATTTGTATGTTTATCAAAATTTTCATATATAATTACTCAAGAGTTATACAATCAGAATTACACAGTCTTAGTATGGGACACTTTGTTAAATTAAAAAAAATGTATCACTTAAAACACTGTCACACATTTTACATTATTAAGCATTACTGTGCTTGAAATCTGTTTGAAAATAAAACTTAAAAATACATGTTTTTGGGCCGGGGATTTAGCTCAGTGGTCCTGACACCTGCCTTGAAAGTGCAAGGACCCCCCACTTCAATCCCCGGTACCCAAAAAACAAAAACAAAAACATGTTTTTGCCGGGCATGATGGTACCTGCCTGTAATCATAGCACTTGGGAGGCTGAGGCAGGAGGATCACTGTAAGTTTGAGGCCAGCCTGGGCTACACAGTGAGTTCAAGGCTAGCCTGAATTAGAATGAGACCTTGTCTCAAACAAAAAAGAACAAAACAAAAATACATATTTTTAAATTTTTTATTAAATAACTTCACCTTAAAAAACTAGAATTTAGCGATGGCCAATATCAAAATTAAAGTCCAACAACAGATATGATATTTCAACTTTTAAAAAGGAAAAAATATATTCCAATTATTTGTCTGTAATGACTTCCTTTAGTTTACACACAAGCTCAACAACAAACCAGGTAGGAATACCAGTGAGTCAATCAGCTGCCTGAAACTGCAGCTTTCACATCACTGAAGACACGAACAGGTGTGTCCAACACTTACCAATCGGGACTTGTTCAGGTTGGCTGAGAGACACAAATGCTGATGTGTCATCGATCCAGGATATCTGAATGTTACCTGTTAATGCCAAGTTGAGAGTAAAGTGACCATGTGACTGCGTAAAGAGCTGGCAAGTGTTACTTGGTATATGTGGCTTATTTCAGGGCAGGCTAGAGCTTACAGAGATGAGTTACTTGGTCCAAATCCTAGTTCTACAGAGTTAGCCTGCCTGAAACTTAAATCTACTACAGCAGTTATTTCTGTTGAAATTTTAAAAGGAGAAACAAACCAGGAAAATAAGTTATTGGAAATTTGTTTCAAAAACTAAAGAAAGATTCTTCCAGACTAAATCCTGGGGCGCATCATCATCCAGCCCAATCTTATGTCAGGGTTAGAGACCTTTTTCTTCTCAAGATCATGAACAAAACTGAGAGATCATATGTATTAAAAAAATTATTTCTTTTTAGAAACTGGTATGGTCTGAATATGGTTTGTCACACTCTCCTCCAACTGATGCTGAAATTTAATTCCCACTGTGAGGTAAAAAAAGGGGAGAAACTTAATCCAACTATGGTATTTAGACTGAGGCCTTAGGGAGGTGATTAGGATTAGAAAGGCCATTAGAGGAGAGCCTGCAGGATGAAATCCCAGTGGCTTTATGAGAAGAGGGAGAGATCAGACAGATACACACACACACAGGCATTCTTCCCCTGGCCGGTGAGCCCTGCTCTGGGTGGGGGCTCTGCCATCCAGTGGGCCATCACCAAATGTGTGCCGAGACCTCACTCCTCCAGAACAGGGAGTCAGAGTAAACCTTTCTAAGTCACCCAGGCAACGGTATCATGTTATGAGCAGCAGAAAACAGACTAACATATACACAAAATGAAAAGCAAGAGTGTGGAATGAGACAATGAGTCAGGAAACATTCCAAGTAAGAAAAATTTGATGCTGAAATTCAGGCCAGATAAAGAGAAAGAAGCAGAATGGAGCACAAGGGAAAGAGCCAGAGAGAGAACTGAAGCAGACTAGAGGGGAACAGGAACAAAAAGCACAACAAACAAATGACATGCACATGCAAGAGGCAAATACTCACAAAAAGCTAAGCACAGACAGAGTGGAATGGAGCCCACTAAAGCGGGGAGACACGAAGAGGGGAGCAGGGACCCAGGCAGCTGGAGCAAATAGAAGGAAAAAGCACAGGCCTTGTAATTCTGTTACTCATCCTGAAAAAAACAGAAGCCTGGACTGTACAAAAATGAGTAATCACCACAATTTAACAATTAAAAAAAAAATAAACTGTTTCCATTCCTCCTAAAATTTTAAAAGGCTAGGATATTTATTTAGTTTGTTTATTTATTTTTGAGATCAGTCTTGCTGCCTCAGTCTCCCAAGTGCTGAGATTACAAGCACGTGCCGCCACACCTGGCTAAGTGGCTAGAAAGTTTTGAAAACTGCTTTGTATCACCATCAAAGGAAAAAATAAAAATAACTTCACTGCTAGCCACACAGTAAGGCAACGTAATGACTTCGCCAATTACAAAAGTCACTTACTGCTATTTATACCTCTCGGCCTTGCGCCTAATAGCTAACTTTTTTTATTTTTAAATTTTTGGTACTGGGGATTGAACTCGGGACCTTGAGCTTGTAAGGCAGGGGGTGGAACCACTGAGCTAAATCCCTGGCCCAATAATAGCTAACTTTTATTGAGTGGTTACCATGCACTGGGCATTGTGCTAAATGCCTTCCAGGGACTGGCTCCTTCAAGCCTAGAGTCCTATATCCAATGAGGAAACAAAGACATGGTGATGGTACTCACCCAAGGTCACACAGCTTTTAAAATTTTAATTAAATTAAAAAAAAACTACCAGGAGCATTTTACTTGATTTAGTCAATTAAAGTTTGAACTCCAAGGATAACAAGAAGATAAACAACAAAATATTCCAAAAGAAATGAGCCTTGAAATTCAACTACACTTCCGTATTTTATATAAACTAAAAAGCAGGACTAGGGCTTCAGAGGACATCCAGACTATATGCAAAGAGCAGGATGATTTTCTAGAAATACACCTGCGTTCAGATAATTTTCTAAAAATTAAGTATTAGGATATTTTTACTTATTCAGTATGGTGCTGGCACAAAAAGAGACATGCAGATCAATGGAACAGAACAGGGGCAGCAGAAACATCCTCAGGCACATTCAGCTATTTGATATCTGACACTAGAGGAAAGACAGTTTCTGAGAAACAATGCTGGCAAAACCGTCCACATGCAGAAGACCGAGTCTAGACCCATCTCTCACACTGGGCACTAAACTACAATCCAAAACGATCAAAGATCTAAATGTTAAAACACAAACACTTAACTGATGGAAGATAAAATAGGTGAACCTCTTAAAAACATAGGTATAGGCAAGGATTTTCTGACCAGAGCCCTGTGGAACAAGAACTAGTACTGAGACTCAACCAATGGGATCACATCAAATCAGAACGCGTCTGCACAGCAAAGAAAACAACTAACAGGGAAGAGACAACGTATACAATGGGAAACAAATTTTGCCAGCTATTCCCTGGACAGAGAACTAACATCTAGAATTAAAAAAAAAAAAAAAAAAAAACAGACTCCCTTGAAATAAAAGACCCAATCAAACAATGGGCAACTGAAATGAATATACACTTAACAGAGAAAAAGTACAAGTGGCCAATACATACATGAAAAAATGTTCAATAATGCTGGCCATTAGAAAAACGCAAATTAAAGCAACACTGAGATTTCCATCTTACTCTAGAGAGAACAGCCATCATCAAGAAATCAAATTATAAAAATGCTGGCAAGGCTATGGGGAAAAAAGAAACTCCTCCTACACTGTTGGTGGGAATGTAAACTCGTACAACTATTACGAAATCAATATAGATTCCTCAAAAAACCAATGCTAGAAATTCAATTTGGCCCCTCTATTCCCCTCCTAGATATCTTCTTGAGAATTATAAGTCCTCTAATTACAGTGACATACGCATACCCATGTTCATAGCAGCACGGTTTTAAGAGCTAAATCTTAGAAACAGCCCATCAGTGGGGGCAAACCTATAGCATGTGTGCTGCAGTGGGCTGTTTGTTATTACTGAAAGCTTGAAAAGGTTCCCCATCACTAGACTGTGTCAACAGATGAATGAGTAAAGAAATATGGTATTTATACACAATGGAGTACTACTCTGCCACAAAGAATGATAAACTTGAGGCATTCACAGGCAAATGGATGCGTCTGGAGACCATAATATTAGGTGAAATAAGACACACATGTTTAAATATCACATGGTTTCTTACAGGAGAAACCCAAAATATAATTAAGAGCAAAGTAAAAGATTCGTAATAGGACGTTGGGAGATCTTTTTCAAATAGGAGAGAGAACAAGAGATGGAAAGGCAGAGGGAAGAGAGAAAAGCAATGAAAACAAAACAAAAAAAGAATTGAAAGAAAAAGATGGAAACAGCTTTTGCAGACCAAGAGATGGAAGGAGCAGGGAGGGAGAGGAGGGGTAGAGAGCAAAAAGAGAAGATGTGATATGTACATGCACCAACCCCCCCATGACAAATGTAATCATTATGTACTATAAACCAGTACTAATTAAAAGAAAGGTACTTTGCACTTATTTTAGGTAAAACAGAAAATCACAGAGGAAAAAATATTATCTAAAACATTCAGGAGCAATAGCATGATACTTCCTTTCAGTCTGACTTTTATACATAGTTTTTAAAAAACAGTGTTAGTTACAAAGGAATCCTAAATATACCTGCTTTTTACACACACACAAACTCTCTCTCTCTCTCTATTTTTTTTTTTTTTTTTTTTT